TTTTTCCAGCAAATCTTTTTTAGCTCCACCTTTTGTGCATTTTCAGACCTGATAAAATGAGTGAACTCTGAACAATAACCCAGATGCGAGTAGAAATAATCTTGATTTACGTCATTAAAAATTCAAAATTCAGTCAAAGTATAATAATATCATATTTGAAATCTACATGTAAAATTACATCTAGAAATGTGGTTTTAAAAAGTGTTTATCAACTTTGAAAAATTAATTTTCTTTGAAATGTGACTTCTAGCTCGGGGAGATTCCTCATAGAGTCCATATTTTCACATCACAATCACGTCCAACCTGTATAAACTATATGCTAGCATTTTAGAAACGGAAATAATGACCTTCCTAGAAGAAAATAATCTGCTTGGTGACTACCATGGTGCCTTCCGTAAAGGTAGGCGTCTGGAAGACAATATTTTCACTCTTAAAGGTATATGTAGTCTCCGTAGGGATAAAAATCAAAAGACTTATCTAGCTTTCATCGATATATCGAAAGCCTTTGACGTTATCAGGGCCGTCAGATGGGGGGGGTGCGATGGGTGCGACCGCACCCCCCTTTGTCACCCCCCCAAAAAATTGAAAAAAAAAATTATTATTATTTTTTTTTACATTTTTTGTAATTTTTTTTCATTGACTCATACACTTTGAAAGTACCCAGAAAGCACCAAATAGCATCTTAAAATTGTAAAATTTTCTAGGGGCATTTGCCACCCCTCACACCCCCACACAAAGCAATGGAAAAGTTCTAAATTTATTTTAGTGTTTTGTCCCAGACACTTTTAAAGTGCACAGACATCATCAAATACCTCCTTGATACAGTTAGTGTTTCTGGGGGACTAACACTTGCTCCCCTCTTGCATCTTGCACTTGCATCCCCACACCACCTCCCCCTCTGGCGCCCCCCCCCCTTGACCCCCCCCCCCCCAAAAAAAGAAATTGGATAAAAGTTGTGATTTTCTCAAATTCTTTAATTGACTCATACACTTTGAAAGTGCCCAGAAAGCACCAAATAGTGTCGTAAAATTGTAAAATTTTCTAGGGGGAGTGGGCCACCACTCACACCCCCAACAAAACAATGGAAAAGTTCTGAATTTGTTTTATGTATTGTCTCAGACACTTTTAAATTGCTCAGACATCATCATTGATATAGTTAATGATTCTGGGAGACTAACACATACTCGCCCTCTGGCATCCCCACTCCCCATCCCCCTCTGGCATCCCCCCTTGACACACCCCCACCCCCAAAAAATTGAAAAAAAATTAAGATTTTTCAAGTTTTTTATTGACTTATACACTTTGAAAGCACCCAGAAAGCACCAAATAGCATCTTAAAATTGTAAAATTTTCTAGGGGTATTGGCCAACCCTCACACCCCCCACAAAACAATGGAAAAGTTCTAAATTTATTTTAGTGTTTTGTCCCAGACACTTTTACAGTGCAAAGACATCATCAAATAGCTCCTTGATACAGTTAGTGTTTCTGGGGGACTAACACTTGCTCCCCTCTTGCATCTTGCACTTGCATCCCCACACCACCTCCCCCTCTGGCGCCCCCCTTGACCCCCCCCAAAAAAGTGGATGAAAGTTGTGATTTTCTCAAATTCTTTAATTGACTCATACACATTGAAAGTGCCCAGGAAGCACCAAATAGTGTCGTAAAATCTGGCATCCCCCCTTGACACACCCCCACCCCCCCCCCCCCCAAAAAAATAGAAAAAAAATAAGATTTTTCAAATTTTTTATTGACTCATACACTCTGAAAGTGCCCAGAAAGCACCAAACAGCATCTTAAAATTGTAAAATTTTCTTGGGAAATAGGCACAGACACTTTTAAAGTGCCTAGACTTCATCGAATAGCACCTTGATATCGTAAATGTTTCTGGGGGACAGATATGGGGGACAAACACCTGCTCTCCATCTGGCACCCCAACCCCACCTCCCCATCTGGCACCCCAACCCCATCTCCCCATCGGGCACCCCAACCCCACCTCCCCATCTGGCACCCCAACCCTACCTCCCCCTCTGGCACCCCTCCCTCCCCTTTGACACCCCCAAAATTTGAAAATGTTTTTTATTGACTAATACACTTTAAAAATTAAAAGTGCCCAGAAGCACCAAATATCATCTTTAAATTGTAAATTTTTCTAGGAGAGTTAGCCACCCCTCACATCCACCACAAAACAAAAGAAAATATTCTGAATTTCATGTATTATCTCAGACATTTTTTAAGTGCCCAGACATCATCAAATAGCACCTTGATATGGTCAATGTTTCTGGGGGACAACCCCTTGCTCCCCCTCTGGCACCCCACCCCACTTCACCCTCTCATCCTTTTTGACACCCCCAAAAGAATTTGAAAAAAAATTCACATTTTTCTTATTGACTCATACACTTTGAAAGTGCCCGGCCCAGAATGCACCAAATAGTATCTCAAAACTGTAAAATCTTCTAGGGGGAGTGACCGACCCCCCCCCCCTCTGACTTACGCGATTTGGTTTACGCGGCAAAAAAATTGACAATTTTAAATTCTCTTTAGTAAAAACCGCACCCCCCTTGGAGAAAAGTGTCTTACGGGCCTGGTTATTGACCGTGAACAACTCTTTATATCTCTTTGGAAGAAAGGAATCCAGGGCAAAGCCTGACGTGTATTGAAAGATCTATACGCATGTGTCAAAAACAAAGTTATATTTGGTAATTTTGGTAGTGAATGTTTCGAAGTTGAATCTGGCATAAAACAGGGATGTGTACTCTCACCTACTCTATTTACTGTAATTATGACCGATTTGATTGACAGCCTGATCGAAAATGATATGGGTATCCCTTTCAAAGATCTAACTCTACCCGCATTGCTTTTTGCAGATGACATCGTCCTCACAGCTACCAGCGAATCTGATCTCTGTAGAATGCTTGATATTACAAACGAATTTGGTAAAAAATGGGGGTTTAGTTTCATCTCAAAAAAGTCTAAAGTTATGATCATAGGTGGAAAAGTTAACAAACATAAAGTTTGGAAGCTTGGTGAGCTCTCCCTCAATGAAGTAAAAACATATAAGTACCTTGGCGTTTATTTTGACAAAACACTGAAAGACTCGCACCATATTAATAAAATTCTTGGTTTAAAATCAAAAAAGCTCAAAGGTTATATAACCTCAACCCTCAACAAACATTGTAATATCCAACGAATTCAATTTGGTAACACCATGTATAATAACATGTTCCTTCCTTCAATATTGCATGGAGCAGGAGTCCTCCTTCCAAACACAAGCGAAATGAAGAAAAATTTAGAGTCGTATCAATACCAAGCTGGTTTATCCATTCTTAGCCTTAAGTGTTCCCCAGCTTATGAAGCCCTTGTCTGTGATATGGGCTGGCGTCCAATTGAAAAGATCTTTCAAAAACGTCAAATTGACTATTTCTGCTATCTAAAGAATAAAAACTCACAAACCCTAGTATCAAAGGTTTTATCTGCCCTTTTGGAATCATATTCAATAAATAAAGAATCTAATTGGAAGTATGTTTCTAACATAGCAAATATATTAGTGCACCATGGGCTCGATAATAAATTGAATGTTAATTCTGAAGAATGGTACTCATCCTTTCTCAATATTTCCAACGAAATTACTACTAAGGAATTGTTTTCATCAATTTGCGACCGGCCATCCCTATCCCTTTATAGGAATGTTAAGAGACATGTCTTTCAAGAGGAGTACCTAAAAAACCCATTCAACTTCCAAGGAGCAAGACAAAAATTCTTAGCCAGGTCGGGTTGCTTTAAATTAGAATCAGACCTTAAAAGGTGGAATAAAAGTGATGGCTTTTGTAAATTATGCCCCTCCAATTCTTATGACTCTATGTCCCATCGCCTGTTCCTTTGCCCCGTCCTCCAGGATAAAAGAAACATATTCATTAACAATTTAATCTCTTCATGTGACGTTGCCCTTGTAGGTGAATACTTATCAGCGAGCCTTAATGATAAGCTACAATGGATTATTGGTGATTCACTTTACATAGGCACATGGGGGCAGGACCAAATAAATAAATTTGAGAAATGTGTTTACGAATTTTTAAAGGAAATGTATTTTTAATGATTTTAACCTATTGTATGTATGTATTTTAGTCTCTTTGGATGCACACTAAATTTTAGTAGTGCCGCTGTTGTAAAAGCGTTTTATCCTAATAAATAAAAAAAAAATAAAAAAATAGACCCCATGCTATAAAATCACAAAAAATGAAATATCTTTTCTTTTAGTGGACAGATAATATCTTGCTTTACTGGACATATTTTCATTAGTATAAGTATCAGGAACATAAGGGTTATATGAAAATTGAGCCACTTAAATTGATAATATTCAAGTTTAAGGGAACTTTCTTATATACCTGCCATGTTAATTGACCCGAATCAGCCACCTGGTGGTGAAACTGGTAACTACCTACTCGCATTTTGGTAATTGGGCAAAGTCGAAACACTTGGGTAACCAAGAACAATTGGGTTTCCACACATGTTCCTAGTTTACAGTGTACGGCGGGTGTTAACGTAAATATATACTGTGGTACATATGTACATATCTTGGATAATATATGCCCATGGACTTGTATTAATGTGGTCTCAAAATAATATTTCAATGACGAACAAGACAGCTCATGTAATACTCCAATGTCCTATTAGAGAGCAGTCCCTAAAATCACAAGCGGAACGTCTTTTACATTACTGCAACGAATAAGTTTGAATTTGAACTTAATCAAAATAAAATCAAGTTTTGGTGAGGATTTGAATTAATAGAGAGGGTAAGCTACACGTTTTTAATGGATCTTGTACAGTACGTTAACGTGTAGAGTTATGGTCCTCCGTTCTTCCATTAGTAGTAATAACTTGACCAATTGAGTATTAAGGTATACGGTTGTAATTAGGCCACTGGAAAAACCAATTGAGGGGAGGTCAGCAATTCCTGGGGGTCACAATTCAGCAATAATACACGTACATGTATGCCTGGACAGACATACCTGTACGTATATGCGAGGATGGGGAAACTTGTTTCACGGTCTATTGGAACATAAGTTGATGTACATATTTGTTGACTTTTTTTATTCAACTTTGAGAAAAGAATATATTAAATATAAATTTAATTCTTTAAAAAATATTTACAACATCATCTCTAGTTTAAAATATGAATTAAAAAAATATGACATATTATTACAACACAACAGTTCCCTAACATTACCTGGGTTTTCAAAATACACACACACACGCTCAACCATACAGCCGTTCGTACTAATCCCCCAAACGCAGAGCTCAAGAGATTATCCTCTCTGTTCCATGCATCTTCCTCAGAGTCTGGCATTTGGAGGATGCTATATTTTCTCATTCCAGTCAGTATACACAAATGAAGCAAACATTTTTTTAAATATGGACCTTGTAAGGTCTAGCAATGTGAAATTGCCTAACAGTGATAAAACATCTAAAAGACCACTAAAACATCCAAAAGTGATAGTTAAAACTATCTACTGACCAGTTTCAACTAAAATAATGATTAATTTCACAAAAAGTACTGCCTGGTTATATATGGAAAACTTCAGACTACATTCATGACATATGACAGTCAAATCATCCACTAAGTTATTCAACATGTGATATGTTATAACGTAAGCACCCATTATAATTATATCAAGTGTTTTAATTGCTTTTCCATGTTTCAGATTTGGACTATGTTTGAAAAACAGTTCAGCTCCATATCTCCGATATTGTCTTCCTTTACACCAATTTCATAGGATTTTTAAATGTCAATTTCGGGTTCAAAGTCGTCTGCAGTGTACGGTTCATCATCATATTCATCATGATCATCAGAGTTATCATGATCCTCATAGTACGGGTAACATTCTGGGTCATTAGCCGTAATTGTGATATCATCGATTGCCATGGACCGCCTTCTTTTTCTATTCACGGTACCAACAAAATTGATCTGCAAAATGATTACATTAGGTATAAATATACAAGTACAACTACATCATGTACTGTATAAAACTAAAAATGGGCATTTAATAAATGAAAAATTACCTATTTCAGGAAGGAGTATCATTTTCTGATATACTAGTATGACGTGCTATCCGACACGAATTAGGTTCATGGTGATGAAAATAACTAACTACTGGCATCTGGGTTATTGTGAGTCTTAATTTTGCTTATCAATTTAGATATGTCAAATGTGTAGGTGTTCGTTAGATCATAAGCTTTAACAGGTCATTTAGAGGTCACCTGGGAGAACATTATCATCATTCAAAAGAGCACTGATGCACTTAAGTTTCAAATATGTCGTATTTACATACTAGTATAAGGCCCTATACATGTATAGGCCAAAAGAACTTACTTTAAAATCTCCAGTTGGGAAAATAGGAATAGCTTCTAATCTCCATTCATCCAGTGGATCATTCTCTAATGCAATAAGTTCTACGTTGCTTTCTTCATCACGCATCTCAACCGCAATCCTGCCAGCTTTGTTACCATTGTGATGGTACCAGAATTTCAGACACATATCAGCACAGCTAGAGAGAGTTGGTGTGGCAATTTCTGTAATACCACGTCTTCGCTGCAATTAAGCAAACATAAGTGTTAATGTTATACCACAATTTCTGCATTGCTAACATTAGCTTTATTCTTTTAAAAACTTTGCGATGTACAAATATTAAAGTCCCCGTCTAAAGTTTGAAAATATTTTTTTATCATTCATTTACTATTTGTCATGACTTAAAAAGTTATTCTAGAGATTTTTAAAAGAAAATTTTTTTTTGAAAAAAAAGTTGTGAGCATTTCATTTCTCAAATATTCAAATTTCCCGCCATTTTTCAAAAAAAGTTGAAATTTTTTAATCATCAATATTTCTTAAAGCATTTCGAAAAAGATTATCTTTTTAACACCAATGCAAAGATTGATCAAAGGACACACTATTTCAATAATAAAATGCCATATTTAATGGGCCACTTCAATGTTTTACCATATCAAAAATATTTTGCACCATTAGTGATGTCACTAAGGTACCAAAAACTTTTTGAAAAAAATTGAATTTTTTTTTTCAATGTCAATCTTTTCTTATTATGCTAGACTTCAATAATATACCAATGTTGATTGTCTAACCAGGTTAAAAGGAAGAATATATTATGTTTTAGATAGCATTGTACCATTGGTCTCTATGAGAACTAGAATTTTTAAATGCATTTTTCTCGGAACCATTTTCATGCACTGATAATTTCATTTCTCGCTTATTTATGAAGCGATTTTCTTAATTTTTTCGTCAAAAAACATGTGAGGATGAATGCTTTGCATTGGTATGAATTGTGGCTAATTAAAAGATATGTATGACCTCTAAAAGTTAGTTTTAAATAAATTGACAAATTTTGGAGCAAAAAGTCTATCAAAAACCACTTTTTGAAATTTAAAAAAAAAGTTTCACATATCACACTTTGATAACATTGGGTAAGACTACAATATAAGCCAAAGTGGTTTCAACTTTAGATGGGGACTTTAAGTAAATGTCAGCAATAATGAGTCAAGATATGATCTTTTACCTGAAAAATAATGAGTCGAACTATCATTAACATGAAGTTTTTGCTGTTAAATAGTCTTAGTACACATACTTTAATTGTTGTATGAGAAAAACTTACAACGCGCCTTCCTGTGCTGACAGCACTAATGTAGCGGCCACTTTTGCCATGTGTGTGATCATAGGTTGGGGGTCGGTTCTTATTGGCCTTCTTTGCGCTTCTGTAAAACCAGTTGTGGTCATCCTCTCTGGATTGTTTCATACCACAACGACCTTTCTCAAAATCACACACGAAGACTTCATTTGGTTGTGGGGTGGGTGTCGTAGGTTCAGCGTTTGTTGGTTCAGGGGTGGGTGGTTCAGTGGTTGTTGGTTCAGGGGTGGGTGGTTCAGCAGTTGTTGGTTCAGGGGTGGGTGGTTCAGCAGTTGTTGGTTCAGGGGTGGGTGGTTCAGCAGTTGTTGGTTCAGGGGTGGGTGGTTCAGCAGTTGGTGGTTCAGGGGTGGGTGGTTCAGCGGTTGTAGGCTCATTTCCACCTTAAATGCAAAAATTATATATTTGAACACATTTAAACTGCTTTTACTTACTCATCTCTCAAAATATGCTTACTTGCACAATTTAAAATTTCAACACAAATGTTAACATTAATATGAAGGACTATATAAGAATAAACAGCTCTTGTTACAGATATGATACATGTACAATGACTTTGTTGACTTCAATGACTAGAGTGTCTACTTAAAATTGAGGCACATATGCTTTTTACTTTTTTTAAAAGGAATAATGTGTAATGCCCCCTCCAATCGAGAACCAATAGATACAAATAGTACAAATGATCTTGATTTTCGTCATTTAATATTGAAAATTCTGTCACACTGCATTGTATTCATGTACTTTAGTAAACTACATTGTATACTATTGTACACTGCATTGTAGACTATTGTACACTGCATTGTATGCTATTGTATGCCGCATTGTATACTTACATCTTGGTGACTGTAGAAAGACATTTGGGGATCCAGAACCAACATCAGTGATAACTCCATTTAGTGCACTTATGAAAGAAAACGAAACATAATAAATGTTACGATTTATGACAATTTATAACCTCATTTAATCAATTACTATTACAAATTATTTGCATCACAATAACAGTCAGACACAGGGTCAGACATTTTCTAATTTTCACTTGTTTCTTCTGTTGTTTCCAAAATGGAGTTGCATTTTAAACGTCTCCCATTAAAATACTCTATTGAATACTACATACTCCACCCTTTCAAACAAATGCAACCCCTTCCATTTTAAGTTACCTTTATATTATTATATATATGTCTATGCACTATTATACACTTAGTAAACTGCAAAAATGCCCATTATTCTATAATACCGTCAGGTGATTGAAAATAGTTATTAAAGACATTGAAATGGATATCGACAATAAAACAAGACATGGATACTTTAAAAAGTACATGTTAAATTAAATTGTGTACCTGTCCTTTAGCCAATTTTCAACTTCCAGTGGTGTGACTGATCCTTGCACAGTACTCATGTATGCAGCAGCAACACCAGCAACATGAGGGGCAGCCATGGAGGTACCTAAATATATGTACAGTAAAACCATTATATCCATACATCTATTTTATCTGGACATTGTAATAGTTGTATTTTGTGGGTATTATAGATAAACAAACACACTAGATTGTGATTTACATTGTGACTGTATTCTCTGGTCTCTACTGAGAAGTGAGCTTACAGCATGCTGTCCAGTGTTAGACCCAGACGGTTATATAATCAGTACAGGTCATTAGATTCATGGAAGGTCAGGATACTACATCCCTCCTTTCCTTTGGATAAAATTTCACTGTTATAACACATACATTGATATTGGATATCATAAGACTGAACTTTTTGAATGAAAGTTATAAATACTGTTTTTGTATTCAACCAATTTTCAGAGATAAAACTCAAAAGTTCATGGAAACTTTGTATTAGTTCGTATCATTATGCTAATTGAGTGTCTCTCTTGTTGATAGGTATAATGTCATTCTGAGGTTATGATTGCATAATTTTTACTATGGAATGTTTATGTATGCTAATTTTTTTACTATGATTTGTTTATATCAGGATATTGGTCACTGGACATGCTGTGGTTTGTGTTTACTTGATTTCGAGTCTGTCTGGAGGCACACCTCTGTTTTCTCTCAAGTTGTAGCGATTTGCCTTGGACTTAGTATTGGTTTGAATGGGAGGGGGTTGGTGTTGAGGATCTTGGGGCTCTCGTTGTTTCAGCAGTTTGAAGAAAGAGGAATTTCGTGTTATTTCTTTACCTTCCCTCTCTGCCTTGATTTTGGTACCTGTGACCTCAGTGATTGTCATTGGTACAGGGTCGAATCGAGGTTTTAGCTTGCCTTTTACGTCATTCTTCACGAGAACACTATCTCCTACCATTAGCTGGTGACTTTTGATGTTCCGTTTGTTTTCAGCATTTACTTTCTGTTTTTCCTTGCCTTGCTGATCATTAAGGCGTAGGGGTTGATCAATATGGGGGTTTGCCTCAGGTTTGCAGCTGGGGAGCGATGTGCGCATTTCTCTGTTAAACATAGCCATGTATGGGCTAATTTTAGTTGTGGTATGTGGTGTGGCTTTGTAGTTTTTGAGCCACCGGAAAAGTTGCTGTTTCCAGTTTTCTTGAGAAATAACAGCGGTGTTAACAACTTTGTTTATGGTTTTCATAACATTCTCCACTTGACCATTAGCCTCAGGCCATAGTGGGGTCACAAGGTGATGGTTGAAACCACTGTTTTCTGCATACTTTGCGAATTCGTGACTTGTAAACGGAGGGCCGTTGTCCGTTCTCACTTTCTTTGGGGTGCCAAAGGAACTGAAGATTCGATCAAGTTTTGGTATTACTGCTCGGGCAGATGTGCTAGTTGTGAAATCAAGCTCAATGTATCTTGAGTAATCATCTATTACGGTGATGATGTACTCATTGTTTGGATATGGGCCAGAAAAATCGATTGATATATTTGTCCATGGGGCTTCTGGGAGTACACTCATTTTAATAGGATCTCTGGCTGGGGCTGCTGATGTGGCCTGGCATGGTATGCAGGAATTGACTCTATGTTCCACTTGTTCATCCATATAGTGGAACCATACTTTCGAGCGAAGTAGGGCCTTTGTTTTGGTTATGCCTTGGTGACCTTCATGTGCAATTTTTACAGCTTTTCCTTGTAGATTTTCTGGGAGTACTAATTGATTAGCTCTGATTATAAGATTGTCAGGTGTCATTGACAGCTCATGCTTCACTTTGTTGTAAATTGCCATGTGGCGTAGATTAACATCAGGATTGGGTGGGTTTAGGGCCTTGTGCCATTGATTTGATGTAATAATTTCACGGAGCCATTTCATTGTGGGGTCATGGGTTGAAGCTGATTTGACCTCTTCTAAGGTCATAGCCTTGGGTATGTTGGCCAATGTGAGGTGTTTGATGTAGCTCTCTGCTAAGTTGGATAGTTGACTAATTGTCGAGGGTAGGGGGTGTCTCGAGAGGTAGTCTGCTGGATTACGGCTTCCAGGGCGATATACCACCTTGAAATTATAGTCCTGGAGTCGGAGCAGCCATCTTTGAATACGTGGTGGTGGTTTTGATCCAGGGTTGTTGAATAGTGGGTCGAGTGGTTTGTGATCAGTTGTAACTGTGAAATCCTTTCCATATAGGTAAATGCGAAAGTTCTCTATGCCCCATGTGATTCCAAGGGCCTCACGCTCAGTTTGCGAGTAGCGCTGTTCTACTGGGGTAAGAGATCGACTTCCATAATGGATTACATGGTCATCTTGACTAAGGATTGCTGACAATCCAATAGGGCTTGCGTCGACGTGTAATGTAGCATGGGCATTGGGGTTATAGTAGGCCATGCATTGATCAGATTTGAGGCTTGTTTTGATTTTTTCAAAGGCAGATTGTTGTAGACTTGACCATTCCCAGGGGGTATTTTTCAGAGTGAGGTCTCGGAGCGGCTTGGTGATTGTTGCTAGGTCACTGATAAATCTAGCACAGTAGTTTACCATACCCAGAAATGATCTGACTTCCCCCACATTCTTTGGTTGCGCCATGCCTTGGATTGATTTCACCTTCTCAGGGTCAGGAAGTACGCCACGATCACTGAATACATATCCAAAAAAGGAAATAGAGCTTTTCGCAAACTCACATTTCTCTTGATTTACGGTGAGGTTATTTTCATCAAGCCGTTGTAAAACTGCCTTGAGGCTGCTATTATGGTCCTTCTCCGTTTTACCAAATATCAGAATATCATCACTGATATTTAGGACGTTGGGTATGCCTTCAAGTACTTGTCGGATGGTATCCTGGAACACTTCACTGGCACTGCATATGCCGAAGTTTAGCCTTTTATATTGGTATAGTCCACAGTGGGTTGCAAATGTTGTTATGTACCTTGAAGCTGGATGGAGCATAAGCTGGTGGTAGCCTTTCTTTAGGTCGATTTTTGAATATATAGTTGAGCCATTGAGGTCGTTTATTATGTCATCAATGGTGGGTGTTATGTGGCGTTCCCTTTGTATTGCTTTGTTAGCGCTACGCATATCCACGCAGAGGCGTATCTGGTCTGACTGTTTCTTATTCACCACTACAATTGGGCTGACCCAGGGAGTAGGGCCTGTTGTTTTCTCAATGATATCTTGTTGAAGTAGATTCTTGATTTCCTCCTCAACTTTCTTACGTTGTTGGAAGGGGATGCGTATATGGGTTTGTGCAATAGGGGGGACACTTTCATCAATATGTAAATGCACTTCATGATCTTTAAGCTTTCCTATTCCATTAAAGATGGCACTATGGGGCTTTAATATATCCTCAATGGTGGGGGGTGGTGGATTAGATCCCAAGTTGTAGGTGATCTTAATCAGATTCAGCTTGAGGGCTGCCTCATATGATAAGATAGGGGTGCAGGGCTCCTTAATGACATGTATCTCAGTGGTGATTGACCTATTAGCATACTCCAGGTTTCCTTGGAACTTTCCCATGAATTGTAATGGGGATTTTCCAGTGAAGGCATATACAGATTCGGATACAGGTTTCAGGGCTGGGGCTACATCCAGTCCTTTGTAGCTTTTGTGGTCAATTACACAGACACTTGACCCAGAGTCTATCAAGAATTCCAGACTAGTGTTATGCAATGCGATGTCTACATGTGGACACTTTGATGATGATTTGATGGGAAAGACATATTCCAGCTCTGATTCACTGCTTGGGTCAGTTTCTGGGTCATCCAGTTTAGTGTGTACCTGGTGAACTTTAGAAGATGATCTGCTGTGGGAGGGGGTACGACACACCTTGGCAAAGTGGTTCTCTTTTCCACAATTCCCACACGTCTTGCCTTTTGCTGGGCATTCATTTTGATGGGGATAGTTTCCGCCACAGAACCAACATTCAGACGCCTTTTTTATTTTGCTGGATGAACGGAATCTTGCTTTTGTGATCCTGTTTAGCCCTTCTTTTTCTCCAATTTCATCGGATTGCTTCTGGGCCATTAACTGATATCTAGCATAGTCCAGGAGGTCTTTGAGTGTCCATTTATTAGTTGGGTTAAGGGCTTTTTTTCTTAATGTTGCATCCTTCGTTCCAAAGATTATCTGTCGTTTTATTTCTGTTTCCTCTTGGTCCTTAAAGTCACACGCTGGGCTTAGGGTTCTTAGTCGCGTGTAGAATTCCATTAAGGTTTCATCTTCTGTTTGCTTCATAGAGCGGAATTTTATTACTTCATAATCCAGATTCTTTTGAGGTTCGAAATGTTCCAGTAGTCGTTGTTTTGCAGTATCAAAGTCATCATCGCTGCCTGTATCAGGAAGTGTCTCAAATATCTCATGCACTTCCGGTCCCGCAAAGTGCAAAAGCATTGCTCGCTGACGTTTCTTGTTTGTAATGTTTTCTGCTATGAGAAATGTCTCAAAACGTTTAATCCACGTTCTCCATGCATTTGATTGATTTGTTTGGCTTATGTCAAACGCAGGGAACATCATCCTCGTCGCCATTGTAATAGTTGTATTTTGTGGGTATTATAGATAAACAAACACACTAGATTGTGATTTACATTGTGACTGTATTCTCTGGTCTCTACTGAGAAGTGAGCTTACAGCATGCTGTCCAGTGTTAGACCCAGACGGTTATATAATCAGTACAGGTCATTAGATTCATGGAAGGTCAGGATACTACAGACATATCAGTCTGAACACTTTTATGGCCTATTTCTTAATCTGGCCATAAACTTTCGTGCCTGGCCGAACTCCCGTGCAGTGTTAGTCTTCAACATAACACTGCGGCGGGCAGGTATCTCACCGTAAGCATGGCAACTTCGTAATAAACAACTGACGTGATTGGTTCTAGTCCCATGCTCAGGTCGCGTGATTGTAAAATTTAGACAATTTCATTGGTTGAATTGCGCGTATTAACTAATAAACAACACGTGCGGTAAACTTTTATCAACACAACTTTTACTCAGAATTCCTTCCGCGGTGATTTCTTCTCATATTTCAATAATTTTGAAATATTTTGACAAAATAATGTTTGGGAAACATTCATGAATACATATTTTATAAGTTGTGTGAAAATTGACCACATATGCGATGAAAAGGGGAACTATTTTCCCCAAATTTTGGGGATTTGCTTCATCTGCCCGCCGCAGTGTCTATACCGAGACACTGCATTGGAGTTCGGTGCCTGGCCAAACCCATTTCTTAAGTTAAAAGATATCTCTAGTGTTTGTTCATTTTTGCCGCAGGTGCTCCCTGGGTAAAAAGAGTGCGAGGACCCCTGGGTTTCCTTTCAAGGGGGCCTCACGCTTTTATTACCAGAGAGCACCTGTGGTTTTTGCACGCCTTATAATGAAGTTTTAGAGTAAAATAATAAAAAAAGAATTCCAAAGTCTCAACTTAAAAACGGAAAAGGATTTTAGGAATTTACCTGAATATACGGAATATGAGATATCTGAAGCTACTGTTGAACTATTCACGCCACTTCCAGGAGCAAAGATGTCAACACAATTCCCATAGTTTGAGAAGTAAGACCGTTTGTCAGAGCTATCAGTTGCCCCAACGGTAATTCTATAAAGAAAAGTTCAGATATTATAAACGAGGAAACAATAATCAAATGACCACATTGCAATAGTGCATGCATGGAAACATCCATGCATAATTTAAAGAAAAATGCTTTGCTTGTGGTTTGGTTGATCAATTGTATCTTGTTGATTTTCTGACTTATTTTTTTTTCAAAATAAATATCATTGCCAATCACGTTTTGACGAGACTTATTAAGTTTGATTAGATTGAAAATTATACATACGCCGATGGAGCACTTGCAGGAGAATATGAACAAGCATCTTGATCTGAATTGCCAGCTGCAACCACAACAACCATTCCGTCAGCAACTGCAGCATTTACAGCATCATCTACGGCTTGGTATTTTGGACCTCCGAGAGATAGACTATGTAAATGGAAGTACAATATATTGGAAATGCATGAAAATCAAATCATTCGTCAAGAGAAGCCAGTTTGAAATCTGACCTGCATGTACATGTGGCTAGTGTCATTGATCATTCTTGCATTTTCCTATTTTATCAACTACATGGATTTCATTAAGATTTCCTTAATGTGGAGACTTTCATATTACTGGAGAAAATTCCCATAATGGTTTTACTTTTAGTTGAATTGACTGGTACACTTACAGTACATATGACACGGACAAAATATGGTGATGTTTCAGAATTATTTCATGGTTCCATTTTGAGAGTGTACCATACAATGGTACGCTTTAGATGTACTATTTGTACTTACTTAATTACACCTTTCCTTCCAAGCTGGTTGTTACGTTCAGCAGACCAAGCAATGCCATCGATGACATCGCTGAAATAATTATGATGTAAACATGAAATAGAGGAGCATATTAAAGCGTTGAAGGATGATATGGAGATTTTACAATCCCATTTATTAACAGCCCAAAGCAGATAAGAACAAAAACGACACTATCCACTGCTATGGGGGGAGGGAGGAGTCAATATCTGATTGACAATAGTATAGTTTCCATATAGCTTTTGAAATCTCGCTAAATCTCGTTTTTCGTGAGATTTTAAGAGACTTGCATATTAGACCTCTAATGACTTACATTACCTTCTTTTAAATGGTATATTTGAATTCAGTGGAATGTTTTCTCCTAAAATAGCTTTGATTTACACAGTTATGTAATTTGAATAATTTTCTATGACAATTTAAAAAAAGTTGGGCCAAATGTCCATAGATGCAATGCTAAAATTCTTTAAAACCGTGGATTATTTGTATGTCAATCAACATTAGCATGTTTAATCACAACATGTTCATAAACAGGGTCATCATGTGGTATATCATTCAAGTTTTATACAGATTCAACAAAATCACTTTGATAAATCATGAAATTAAGCCACTTTTCCAAGATTTTAGCATGTAAGTGAATGGAGCTCTAGCCAGAGTTAAAAGCTGAATAAAAGATGGCAGCACGAGATTTCATTGATTTTTCAGTGCTATTTAGAAACTATCCTATTAACTGATGAATATTGGTAATTGTCATAGAGTATATCATAGTCATTCAGAAGTGGAGATTCCCCTTAAATAAGTATATCTTTACTTATAAAAATACCCGTATCTAACTATATATGGTTCACATAAGAGTATAATTACAAATAATATATAATACCTATGATATGAGTAATAAATGTATAATTAAAATGTCTTACGAATAGTAGCCACTTCCACCGTCACTAAGCACTTTAACTGGAACGAGATTGACATCACGTGCAACTCCAACATATTTTCCCCCAATTGTTCCAGCACAGTGAGTTCCATGACCATTACCATCATCTGTAGACCCACCAGGTACATTGAAGTTTTTACCCTGTATAATAGTGCATAATATTGGAGAGAGACAAACACATGTACGCCAGTTCAATATCATTGTACATGTGTGAATTTTGCCAGGATCATAATGAACCTCTACATCTACATGGATCCACATGTCAAAATTAAGGTGGTCAATGACGTTTTCTTTCCAAGTGGATTCTGGTAGATTGTTTAGGGTATGCAATTGTTCTAAATCATGATTGACTGGAGTTGTCTTTACACGTGATAAAATTGAAAGAGAATTCTCAGATCGGTTGATGGTTGAAACTTGGATAAAAATAAAAGTCTTAGATCAATGAATGTTTGAAACTCTGATTAAGATTAAATTTTTAGATCAGTTATGGTTGAAACTCTAATTAAGATTAAATTCTTAGATCAGTGATTAACAAAGTAAATAAAACTATAATTTTGAACAAACTGCCAAATCAGTGATAGACAAAAACTCCGATTTAATATACAATTTGAAAAATTGAATGAGTTCAGATAGGATACATACCTCAATTACTCTACCACAGAATTCTTCATGCGTTGAACGAATTCCTCTGTAATAGAAAACAGAAACATGACAGATTTAGATAAAACTAAAATGTTAAATCCAAGATATGCCAAGCATTGCCAGGCATTAAAGATGCTCAAGAAGAATGTTAACACACAATTTTTCACATATTAGACTTATTGGGAATGAAATCCAATGGAAGCTTTTTATTATCACATCGGTTCATTGTTCACCACTGTATGTACATGTATGTACATGTATGTGTGCAAGTTTCAGAGTATTATAAATTGAGAACATTTTACAATTTAGAGTTGTTTAGAGGGAGCATTACAGCTTATTCGTGCACCGTAGATCACTTTGAACTCTGAAGATAACTTACGTGTCCAAAACATAAGCATCGACCCCTTGACCAAGTCCATTGGTTTGAAAGAAATTGTCCCTTGTCGCTTCGACCTGGTCAATTCTATCGAGGCCCTGGAACACAAACAAATAGTTAAGTCCATGTTTGAACACAGGAGATTCACTGACATACCATAGAATCAATATTACACATGTCCATGTGAATATCCAAAATGCATGTATTTTTAAGTAATAAATGCGCAATATGCCTTGTGCAAGCACCTTCAAATTCAATTGACATACTGTACAGTATAAGCCCTGTTTGGGAATCAGCAACTTACCCATGCCATTCTAGAGGAGTATCTGATGCAGTCTCCCACTCCAAGACAAGCAACATCCCCTGGAGCACGTGTAGTTGTTGGAGCACGTGTAGTTGTTGGAGCAGGGGTGGTTGTATTTGGCATAACAATATCATCACATTCGACTGACCGCAGTAAAAGATTTGGCGATCCTTTAGTATCGCTAATCTTGTTCTTCCAAGCATTCTCTTCAAGATATGTTCTGACTTGGTCAGGTGTTACAGGGCCAGAGACGGCACTCATAAAAGCTGCAGCAACACCAGCTACGTGTGGAGACGCCATAGAGGTACCAGAGAAAGTTCTGTATTCAGCATCATTAGCCGTGCCACTGCTAACAATACTTGAGCCTGGTGCTATTATATCAACACATCTACCCCAGTTTGAGAAGCCTGACCGGGCATCCGAATTTGTAGATGAGGCTACTGTCAAACTGGAAAAAATGAGTCAGATTATTAGACTAAGTATCACTCCTACCAGAGACATTAAAGACATTATGTTTTTAATGTCTCTGCTCCTTCTGATGGGTTGTTTGTATTGATATACTATAATCATAGTTTAGAAAATTAGATTTCCTTTTTGACAAAGTGCTCTTGGGCTTCAGTGTATTCATTTTTGTTCCTGTTTTTCTTCTGTTACATATTTTGCTATTCCTATTATGGCTATAACTTACACTTTATCTGCAGCTGCAGGAGAGTAAAAACAGGCATCAGCATTACTGTTCCCAGCTGCAACAGCCACTACCATCCCCTAAAATATATCAATATGGGTCTATCAATGACATGGGTCTTCAATAATAAGTAATTAACAGGTCTCAATTATTAAAAATGGGTCTTATCTATCAACATTGCTCTATTGTAAACATGGTTCAGTTAGTAACATGAAATTTTCAGAAACATTGCTTTGCTGTTCGAGTAAGGAAACTTTTCCCCTCTCGTGCACACTTGAATCTTCTGCTATGTGTGGAAAGCCAGCTGGAGGTCTTTCACGTCCAAAAATGTCTTGACCAATTCTTGAAGTGAAATAAACACTGGATGGTACAATGCCATTTGGGGCTAGGTACAATCCAGAGTTCAGGGCAAAAGTATGATGAGGATATATACAATACAAGAGTATGTTGTGGTAAAACATAGCCTACCTCATCCCAAGCTCCATTCACTGCATCAATCATGGCTTGGTTGACACCAGGAGATCCTAGAGACATGCTAAAAGAAAATAAATGCACAATTATTTATGAACAAAGACTCTTTTTCAAATTACATGTACAAGTTAATTATATAATATATTACAATGTATAAATTGTTAAATGTATCTGATATATATATATATATTAATACGTTTACAATGTATACTTATAAAGATTATTTCTTGCTAAATCATGGGCTTTCAGTTAGAAAGTTGAAAGCCCATGACTAAATGAAAGATAATAAGCATAAATGTTACTCACATTTAATTGTAAACAGGATTATAATCAATGAATAATTAAACCTTTAATATTGTAAATATAAAAATATAGTAATTTTACAATAAAATCTTGTTTAACTTACTTGATAACAGATTTTTTTCCTGATGATTTCATTTGATTTACGGCCCACTGAATACCCTGAATAACACCTCTGAAACGGCAAAATTGAGACATTAAGGTGATTCATACATGCAAAATTGTGACATCAAGATGATTCATACATGCAAAATTGTGACATTAAGATGATTCATACATGCAAAATTGTGACATACATGCAAAATTGTGACATTAAGATGATTCATGCTTGCAAAATTGTGACATTAAGATGATTCATCATGCTTGCAAAATTGTGACATTAAGATGATTCATGTATGCAAAATTGTGACATTAAGATGATTCATACATAAGAAATAGTGGAATTTATTCCAAATAAAATGCCTTTATTACCAGAGTAATGTTTCATTAAAGCACCAAACATCTTTGGAATTTGCACTCTATTTTTGTTTTTCCATCTAAGTCGAAACAATATGTTTAAAACATTGACTTACGATGTTGACCCAGATCCACTTGCAGATAACACCTTCACACCAATAAGGGTCACGTTTCGTGCAACACCAACTTTTTTACCCCCAACAGTACCTGCAAAGTGCAAAAAGTACCCGTAAAGTGTCTTTATTAGAGAAACAGAAATGTTTTCTTGAGAATTACACTAATTGGATGCGAAATACTGAATCATTGCTTTAAATCATCGTCGGTTCCCACGCTCAATCACTACGCTCCTATCTACTATCTATCTCATCTTTACGTTCTATGAGGATAGGTCCGAACCTTGATGAAGCAAGATGGCTTTAAATTGTGAAGTAGAATACTCTGAATCTAATATAAGTGAATAGGCCAATGAGCCATGCGAGGATAGTGAGCTATCAAGGACTAAGGAGAGACAATGAGCTTCGAGAGGGGCGGAGAACAATAAGGGAGGGATAACCATCTATATTGAATGGCTAATAAGAAGACTTATGACCAATTTAGGTAAGCTTGGAAGTTATCTGGAGGGTAATGAATTATCTGGGGCTAATACGCTATCTGGGGGGGGGGCTAATGAGCTATCTGGAACGCTAAAAAGCTATGTGATTAGGCCGTTTAACACTCACCAGCTACATGGGTCCCATGACCATGATCATCTTCAGCAGACTTGGAAGTGTCAATAAAATTTTTACCCTGAAATGAAATTTGAATAAAAAATAAACGGGGTATTTTAGAATGTATGTAATGTTTTTCTTTATTCAATAGAATCTTCTTCAATTGTCTGCAATTCTTTGTTTTAAGTTTTTAATCCACTTGATGCGGAACAATCCTTGATACATGTATCTTTTCAAAAGTTATAGGAATGCTTATTAAGGATATATGGTTGTACTACTTCTCTAATATTAAAAAGTAGTTTGCCTTTGGAGTTCCATTTAGTTTCTAGAAGTTATCATTGAAGTATGTTGAGTTAATAACAATTGTAAATAGATCGTGTATTTTTTTGATTATGAAGGAAATAAATAATATGTTAAAAAAAATAAAAAATCGTTCTACAGTTAGGTAAGCAACTTACATCTGCTACCCTTCCACAAAACTCATTGTGTGTGCTACGTATACCCCTGAAAAGAAACAAATTCAGAATATTTAGACATTGAAAATTGACATTTTTAGCCTACCCTATGCGTAAATATTGAATATGAGTGCGAGGTAAAAAGAATAGTCTTCGTGAACATATATAACCATATAATGCGATGACATAACAAAGTGTCACCACGCAGTTGAAATTACAAAATTGTAACAATTTGTCACAGATGCAGAATGTTACAAAAATATGTTACAAGTTATCTGTGGTGACCTCAAAATCAAGAGTCTGTTTCATTTACTTACGTGTCAATGATGTAAGCATCAACTCCCGTACCCAAACCTTGAGATGTAAATGAATCATCTAGTACTCGATCAGCTTCATCTAATCGGTCAATACCCTGAAAATTGAAAGCCACAAAATATTATTTAAAAAGTAACAATACAACATGGACTGGGTAACTGCTACTCCAAAGATACTACTATTGTATTGTGTTGTTTGAATTCCAAATTCCAATTGACACAAAAGACTTAAAAGCAACATAATCGTGTACCATATAAACACGATATACATCATGATATAGACTTTATATTTGTCTTGAGGATGTAGTTCTGCCTTTAGGGCAACTTCAAACATTACAATTTTGAATGAAAATTCTCTGCATTAAGATCTACCTAAACATGTGGCCTTACCCATGAGCTTGGTTCAAAGGATGTACAGTCGGACACACCATCACACGACTGGTCTATGTGTACTACAAGATTATCTTCTATCTTAACAACAGCACCATCTATTGCCAACTTATTTAAATCTCTACAATATAAAATAATTAGGATATGATTATTTCACTAGATATTTAAAAAATTTCTTTTGTAAAGAGGTCAACATTTTTATGGAATGCCCTTTTGCAAGGATGGAGGGGGTCAATATCATGTCTCCCGACACATACAATTTAATGTATTGCATTACCTTATTAATCCCCTCCCCCAGTTAATCCTATCAAAACACAATTTCTGTGTTCCTCTATGGCCATAATGTGTATGCAACATAAAGGCTCGCCTGGACAGAGATTCGAACCAGAGACCTCAGATCCAGTTGAATGGATTCAACAGATTGAGCTCTGAAGAAGTGGGTTACTTGGTACTTACTCTTCCTGGGCACAGTCAATTATGTAAGCCCTAAAGCTGCCGATCTCAATAAGCTGACTTCGGCGTATCCCCGTGACAGCGCAATCATTACTGCTCCTCTCGTCCCCTGCAGTTTCCACATTAATGGAATTGTACATACTCGTCGTACTACTCATGTGTCTGTTCACTGCAAATTAGAAATACAGAAATTCGCTTGATTGACATTCAAGGAATTGTACATACTCGTCGTATTAATCATGTTCACTGCAAATTAGAAATAAAGAAATTCGCTTGATTGACATTCAAGGAATTGTACATACTCGTCGTATTAATCATGTATCTGTTCACTGCAAATTAGAAATAAAGAAATTCGCTTGATTGGCTCACACGACCGCTTGATTGGGTCCTGCACTTGTTTGACAAATGATGACAACATTGCATGTACATTAAGTAATTGGTTAATAAGTGACAGTATGATTGTAGTGACTAGTGACAGCATGAAATTATTTTTTTTCAAATCTAAAATTGAAAAACATGAAGCCTTTATAATTGAAGGTTTAGTTATTTATGTGTACATGGTCAATGGCCCATGTAATTAGATTGGGATAGATCTCAACAATTGTAAAAGTGCGACTGAGGACAGTGCTCTGTTACATGTACGTGTTTAGTTATACTTTACAAAACAACATTTAGGAATGGTGTCCAGATGTTGAAAGTTGTGGAAAAACCTTGAAGTTCATGTAAGTTCATGAAAATTCATGAAAGTCCATGTAAGTTCATATAGTTTAATACTCATCCAACTTCTAACAAAATTTGAAAATGTTGATTTGGCACAGGGATTTGTCATTTACTTGAATTTCATTTGAAAATAACATTTTTCTGAATTGGCCTAATACAATTTACTTTCTTCTTCGAAGCCACGGCTATAGCTTTCATGTCAGTTTTGACTGTTTGGCGGAACTTTTTATTAATTGTAATCTTACCATCATTAACATCTGCATCATTTGACAGTGTAACCACATACGAGTTCCAGACTTTTTCCTCTGCATAATGGTGGTTTATCTTAGCATCTGAAAATAACAGAATAATTGAGATATATAATATAGTTTCCTGCAATTTGACATGAGAAATTAATTAAGTATTAAACGAGGCATTAACATGCAAAATGTCACCACCTGCCATTTGTTACAGCGAACCTACATCATTTGTTACAGACGCTACCTGCCACAGAGGCAAACTGCCGCAGCCGCGCAAAGTCCGCAAAAAAGTTAAACAATATGTCACCACTTGTGGGGGTGACATAAAAAAGACATGCATATATCTGGCAGTTTAATAACAGTTGTTAACGACATTAACCATCAAATAATATTCAAATATAAGACTCCTATAGACCGACAGTCCGATGTCAAAATATCAATTTTTGAGCAATAGCAGCTAATCTGTAGCAATTGCTGTTGCAACTTCGACAAAAAATATTTTAAAAGATTTAGAAGGAGTTTTCCAAAAACAGTTATTAGAGGGTACTTCATAAATATTGCCAATTTTGCATGACAATAACTACCATAGTACAGTAACTATAACAAGAAATCTTGGCAGAATATGGTTTCTTAGATCACAAAAGTTCATATTTGTCATAAAGAGTATGTACAGCAATAGACGCAACTCATTTACAAAGCAGAATAACTTATTGAATGCTCTTCGTATTTTAGAAGGAATAATGTACATGTACTCACTTGGGGCAATCCCTGTATTCATGTCAATAGTAGCAATGGCATTCTCCTCAATATAGTCAATGTCTGGGTTATCTGCAAGGTATTCGATGTTCCTAGAATCACAAATAAACAAGGTAAATGGGAAGGGGGAGTGGGTAACTACATGTATATATGACATATAACATATGAGCCAGGCCTCAGGAAAAGGGGTCTTATCAGAGATTTTTTCAATATTCTGATTATGTTTATCTGAAAAAGCACAAAGAGACATCTCAAATGAGCCATGGCTTATGTAAAAAAGTCACATTTTCCTCTTAATCTTGGGCACATTCTTGGCTCTGTCGTACAATTTTAATTTTTGTGCTAAGACGGTGTGAAAGAAATGATGGTCCCCCAGGGTTTATGGTCCCCTTTCTTAACGGCCCTTACTGGCCCTGATTGCGTATAAGATAATGAGGGAAAGAGTTGTATTTAGGTCACCATATAAATCAATAGAGAGTAGGACCATAATTTGATAGGACCTCCTACCCTTTTACACCTGTTTTCCTTCACATTTCAAAATATTTTTCCATCAATGAACACCTTAAACATGAACAACATTAATATGAATCGGGAAAATATTTATATTAACAATCAAATTCAAATTATAGGTACAACCTTAACTTGTCAGTAGGTAGATTACAGAACATGTTTTTGATTTGAATGTGAACATGCTGTGTTTTGGTTCTGCAGAAAGGATTGGTATCGATATGGAGAACTGAATTCAACAATGTTTTTCTCTTAAACCAATTATTGAAAACATTAGTAAAAAACACGGTATTTCATGTAATGTTGACTGATTGACAACAATCTAATGCGAAAATTATTTAGAAATATTTTATATATTAACTGTTTTTGTTAACATTTTTGTTTTTTTAGCGCAATTGTTTTTGCTCCTTTCTACCAATTCTTGAGAATGAAATAAATTTCACTCTGGAAACATGATACCAAGAACAAAACAAGTGTTTGATGTGTTTTCTAAAACAATAGAGATGAAAGTACGTATATATATATATATATTTCAAATTATATTGTTACCATTCAAAAGATGACCATTTAATTGACGATGTGTTAACTGGACTGGTTTAAGACAAACGTGTGTTCAAAAAGTTCTCCATATCGATACCACTCCTTTGTCATTTCATAGGGAATAAAAAATATCGGAAAACTATTTGTAAATGGTACCTAGAACACCATGAGACATTAATCCCTGGCGCCATCATATCACAAATTCACGGACAAATTCCATTTATAAAACATGTACGTTAACCTCATTAATGAACTGATTCTACTTACCAATCATCCATACAAGATACAGTATAGACCCTATAGGTGTCAATCGTTGTCAATTTTCCCCTTGTAGGATTACAGTCGTTACCCTGGTCCAACTTGGAGTTCATACTGGTGGCATCGTCCACAGTGGAAAATACGGAGGCCGTCTGGGACATATGCTGCTGAACTGAAATAGTGAACGTTTGAGATTCCAGTTGAGGGAGTTTTACACTCACAAATAATTTTGAAAAAATATCATTTCAACATTTATTTCATTCCAATGTTTTATAGCAAAAATAATATGCTGTGTAGATGTTATATACATGTATTATACTATATTATATGCGCATATCTAGAAGTAAACATTTTCTCCAATTTTTATTAAGAAGGATATTTAAATTTGGATTTGTAAAAGCAGAAGCTCTCAAAATTGACTTCAGAAACTATTGGTAGGAAAATATGTATAAAGAGAAAATTATAATGATAATTTTATTCTACATTTGACTATTGAATAATTGACTGTTACATTGTTTGTTGGAATTTAGACTTGGCAAAATTCCCAGGCATTGTCATATATTGGCATATCAAGGCTATTATATTTCAGGTTATTCAAAAAGTTTGTCACATAATCAAGAAATTAAATAACATCACTGTTGGGAAAATCCCAACTGGCATGAAGAGACTATGCGCTTTGGTTTGTTTAAGTAGACTACAGGGTGGTCCGAAAACAAGATCGAAAAGAAAGTGGAATAACTCTGTCAATCTTGCATTCTGCCTTGAAATATCAGAATCATTTAGTTCATTCAATGTGAATTTTGTTCCAAAAGTTTGATGATAATTTGCCAATTGAGTACCGTGCAAAATACACTACAAGTTGGCACCTCTTTTATCTAGTCTATGAAGAATTCTATTCTATGCAGAATATGAAAAAGTTAATTTACTTTTCTTCGGTGCTATTTGGACACCCTGTACTTTAATCCATGATATGGATTGGTCAAAGACCGGTTATTAGTTTTTACTACTGACCGAAAAGAATGATTTACACTTAATATTTAGCATGTTGAATTGATTTCTAATTACATTGATTTGAAATCGTAGAAACACTATAAGACGATTTCAATATCCAGTATGCAACTTACCTTGTTCATCCGAAATCGTTGACTTCAGTTTGACAACATAGGAATTTTCTGCTTTTGGGTCGTTTCCATGGGTGATTATTTTATCTGAAAAATAGTACAAAATATTACGGTGAACACTAAACAAATAAGTCGTATAGTGTTTTCCATTGATATATACTTCAACCATTGCAATAAAATCTATTCAAAAGTTCTTTATATTTAATTATATCTAAAAATCATATGGAATATGCCAAAATTGATTTCTATTTTTATAAGCAGTGTAGTAGTGTCACAGACATTTGTGTGGAATGAGAAAAATAACAAAAGTTGTTAATTATATCTGAGGCCGCAACACGCGCTCGTCGCAAGATTTGCGTTTGCGATGAGCTGATGATACAAATCCCGGTGGCATTCGCAAAAACTTGCGTTGCGTTATGGTGCGCTTGCGAATCTGCGTCGTGACAAGCAGGTGATAAGACTTCTGCATATTTTGAAAACAAATATGAACATGGCTTGGAACCATCTCTGTTGATTTGGCTCTCTTCAGCATAATGTCGAAGACCAAAAATGCAAAAATGGCACAGAAAAATTATTTATAAATAAAAAAATAAAATGATGAAAAATGTCTTACCATGCTGTACTGCATCAGTCCAATGGATGCAAATTGCCACCACAAAGGTGATGCTAAAGACTCTCATTCTAAACACCTAACTTCCACCTAAATATTTTATTCAAAGTAAGCAATTTATAGAATAGTTTAGTTTTCCCGTCTTTCTTCTTTTCGGTGTTTGTATCTCAGTGTTAAATTCGTGTTTTCCTTCTCGACAATTGTTCTTGCTTCTGCCAACACTTGCCAAATTTTCCATTTATATATCTCCAAACTCACTTATAAAAATTTGATTCACGCTGAGTTTTTCACTCACATAATCGGTTTAAAGGAATTGCATAATAGTTACCAGTAAATTGATTGCTTTTCTGCCCAGTCGGTAGGTAATTCGAGTATCACGTATACCCAAATATGGGCATTATGCGATACAAATAAAGGGAATTATTCTAATGTATTTAATAATGACGTCAGACTTCTTGTAAACATGACCAAAACAGGCTTAAAGCATTACAGGGAGTCCAAATAACAAAATACTGCAAAACAAATTAGAAAATTATTTTCAAATCCGTTTAGAGTGATAGACTTCAACCCCCTCATATATTAACAAAACACATTTCAATATGTATTTTAGAGAACATAGCGACGTCAACCATGATATAAATGAAATAGTTGGGTTTTAACATTTCATGTTATATTTATTCATAGTATCTAAAAAATTACAATTTAAAATGAGCTACCAATCGCTTCTTAGCATTATAGGCTAGCTTTTACTTAATTATTTACAAAATATAGTTACATAAAATGATTATATGAATTTGAGACTACACACTTTACATGATGACTGATAGAAGGATTGTGTATACTCCATGCCTTTAATGGTTACAGGATCAGTTACTAGTGTACATTAATAGTATTTAGGGAAAGAATAAATTTTATAACACTTTCTTTAAGAGTTGTGTCTTCGTCAATACTTAGATTGTTACCAAAAATAAAAAAAATTCAAGTTTGTCTTGGTTGGTTCTGGGTAGGTGGTCTATTAGGTACTTCTGCTCTAGGGTGGTCATTAGCTGTTGCCGTTGGAGATTATGGCGCTCACAGGAGAAAAATACATGTTTAGGTGTCTCAGGCTATAAAGATGTTTTAAAGAGGCAATTAACTATAATTAACTTACTTCATGAAAAATTTTGTAGTTTGCTAAAAATCCATTAATGTTGGAAGATGGTTTTTACGGAAAGCGAAAGGGGATATACCGCAGAATTTAAAATTCAATGGAGTTTTAACATGGGAGTGATATCACACACCGCGGCCCAGTCAGATATATTTCTGCGCACTTTATTTATTTAATTCACTTTGCACAACGCGCCCCCTGTAATTCATTCAGTGCGCAATTAAAAATTGTTTATGAGTGATATCGCACACCGCGGCCCAGTAAGATCGATTTCTGCGCACTTTATTTATTAACACACTCAAAATATCGCGCTGAAGCTTGTATATGCTGGCGCGATGTAATTATAGTTTTCTGTTAATAAATGCCCAACAAGAAAGGGTAGCACAACGAATTCAACTTTTTTCGAAAGACTGCAGACTTGACCTGCGAAATTGTAATTTTGGATCACAGTGATGCCTCTAGAGAGGATATCTATGAGAATTACAGATTATAGTGCGCAGAATTATAAAGTCAAACTGACCTCAAAATGGTAGTACACAGCGTACACTGCCATCTTTCAATAAAGTAACTACAGACCTTCGTATACAAAATACCAGAATGATTGATGTAATACCTGTATACCATTTCTTCTGGGAGAAGGAAAGTTCCTATATGTATTCCATGGCCGTAGCCAGGGGGCCTCACCCCCCTCCCCCTTGCCAAATATTCGTTCAAAATCATGCAGTTTTTCACCATTCTTAGCACTTTTCGCATGATTTTTTTGCCATAACTGTCAAAAAGCTCCCCCCTCTTGGCAAAATCTCCCCCTTGGTAAAACCACTCCCCCAGGTTAATCCAGGATACGGGTCTGTATTCTTAGATCTCTTAGAGATTGTTCAAAAACATAAGGTAGACATAAGTGCCACCTGTTAAAAGCTAGGAGATCTTTTCTAAGTTATTAAGTCATCAATCAGCAGACTGGTAATTGTATCCCCCACCCACTTCAAACTCCATACACTAACATACTATTACAATTTTATCTGTGTTTATTTGACTGTAGAAGGTGTACATTCATAGCATTGAATTGCATTTCATTGCATTGTATTGTATAGCACATCATTGTATTGTTTTGTACTGCATTTTATTGTATTGCACTGCATTGTATTGTATTGCACTGCATTGTATTCTATTGCATTATATTGTACTGTATTGCACTGTATTATATTATATTGCACTGCATTGTACTTTATTGCACTGCATTGTATTGTACTGTAGTGTACTACATTGTATTGCGATGCATTGTATTGTATTGCACTGCATTATAATGTATTGCACTGTACCACATTGTGTTGCACTGCATTGTATTACACTGCATTGTTTTGAATTGCACTGCAATATATTGCACTGCACCATATTGCATTGCATTGCATTGCAGTGCACTGCATTGTATTATATTGCACTGTATTGTATTGCACAGTATTGTATTGCATTGTCTTGAATTACACTGCATTTTATTACACTGCATTGTATTTTATTGCACTGCATTGTATTGTACTGCAGTGTACTGTATTCTATTGCACAGCATTGTTTTGTATTGCACTGTATTGTATTGCATTGTATTGAATTGCACTGTATTGTATTTTATTGCACTGCATTGCACTACATTGTATTGCACTGTATTGAACTGCGATGTATTGTATTACACTGCATTGTATTGCACTGTACCACATTGTATTGCACTGCATTGTATTGAAATGAACTACATTGTATTGCACTGCACGGCATTGTTTTGCACTGTATTGCATTGCACTGCATTGTATTGCATTATATTGCACTGTATTGTATTGCATCGTATTGCACTGTATTTTATTGTATTATATTGCACTACATTGTATTGTATCATATTGCACTGCATTTTTTGCATCATATAACACTGCTTTGTATTGCATCATATTACACTACATTGCATTGCATCATATTGCACTGCATTGTATTGCATCATATTGCTCTGCATTGTATTGCATCATATTGCACCACATTGTATTACATCATATTGCACCACATTGTATTGCATCATATTCCGTATTTACCATTTCGTTACAGTTTTATTACATAAAATGTTATTTATAAGATTATAATTTTCAAACATTGAAAATATTTTATACAATATCAATTAAAAGATATGAAATGGCCCAAAATAATATATTTTCAATGGAACCCTTTGCAAGGGTCACTTCAACATAACGCCAGGTGTAATCTGTATGCATACGCCCTCTTTTAATGAACATTATCTTTTAAACCATATTAGAATCGAATCTGATAAAAGTGCGCGTGTCCTGGATGTGCTGCGCGCTAGAATCGGGAAATCTCAAAGTTCTCCTCGTTAGAGCCATCAATATTATCCAAAATTGTCATTTCGCTGGTTCACTCTGCAGTCTTTCGAAAAAAATCAAATTTGTGGTGCCACGAATTTTTATTCGTTTTTTATTCACAGATAATCATTTTTTCATCGCGCACTGAATGCCGGAATTTCTGCGCACTTTATTTTAATTAACTTTGCACAACGCGGCCCCTGTAATTCATTCAGTGCGCGATGAAATCTATCTGACTGGGCCGCGGTGTGTGATATCACTCCCATGTTAAAACTCCATTCGATTTTGAATTATGCGCATGTCCCCTATAGCTTTCCGTAGGTTTTTACATTTTGTTGAAGGCTACTCTTAGATCAGAAAAGTGAGTGTTCATGGGGTTCTTCCTGCTACTGAAAGTATATATACGAGGGGTTATCATAAAGTTCTCATAATATATCTCTAAAATCGTTATTTTTCAATATATTCTAAAGAAGTTTTCACAGAATGTGCAGCATAGAATGGCTCAGTTAACGGTAAATCAAGACTACAAGTGTAAAAGGGTAGGTGGTCCTATCAAATTTATCCTATCAAACACATTAAAATGTAAACTTGAATATGTTGCCAAGTGCTTAGACACTAAAAGATCATGTGAATTCTGTGATGTAATAGGGGATGCTTACATGCTTCATTAGATGTGAGATACCAGACTCTGAGACTCGAAGCTTAACAATCAGAAATGACGTAAGTTAATGCAATGCAGAGATCTTAAAAAAAATCAAATTCATACTGATAAAAGGTTGTGTTAAGTTTATAAAATCTTTTGCCCAGACTAAAGATGATCTAAAACAAAGTTAACAACAAAATTACACCCTGCGTACGGAAAGTGATAGGGGACATGCGCATAATTCAAAATCGAATGGAATTTTAACATGGGAGTGATATCACACACCGCGTCCCAGTCAGATAGATTTCATCGCGCACTGAATGAATTACAGGGGCCGCGTTGTGCAAAGTTAATTAAAATAAAGTGCGCAAAAATTCCGGCATTCAGTGCGCGATGAAAAAATGATTATCTGTGAATAAAAAACGAATAAAAATTCGTGGCACCACGAATTTGATTTTTTCGAAAGACTGCGGAGTGAACCAGCGAAATGACAATTTTGGATAATATTGATGGCCCTAACGAGGAGAACTTTGAGATTTCCCGATTCTAGCGCGCAGCACATCCAGGACATGCGCACTTTTATCAGATTCGATTCTAATATGGTTTCAAAGATAATGTTCATTAAAAGAGGGCGTATGCATACAGATTACACGTGGCGTTATGTTGAAGTGACCCTTGCAAAGGGTTTCATTGAAAATATATTATTTTGGGCCATTTCATATCTTTTAATTGATATTGTATAAAATATTTTCAATGTTTGAAAATTATAATCTTATAAATAACATTTTATGTAATAAAACTGTAACGAAATGGTAAATACGGAATATGATGCAATACAATGCAGTGCAATATGATGTTATACAATGCAGTGCAATATGATGCAATACAATGTGGTGCAATATGATGTAATACAATGCGGTGCAATATGATGCAATACAATGCAGAGCAATATGATGCAATACAATGCAGTGCAATATGATGCAATACAATGTAGTGTAATATGATGCAATACAAAGCAGTGTTATATGATGCAAAAAATGCACTGCAATATGATACAATACAATGTATTGCAATATA